CAGGGCGAGTGCTGCCACTTAGGGGTGCGGTCCTCTAGCACGAGGGATAGAGGCTCATGGTTTCAGCTAGAGCTGGGCTGGAAAACAGACGTTTTTTTCCCCCATGAAAAATTTTGAACCAGCCCCAAATGTTTCTTTTTATCCATTTTTTGGAGTGAGTTTTCATAGAAAACGGATCATTTTTCTCTGTAAGCTCAGCTGCCATGATACTGCCCAGCTGTAGCTGCCTGGATCCCCAAGAGAAATTGGAGGCTTTTCATCTGCCTCGTCCTCACAATGTAAATGAAGGTTGCACTGACGGCGTCTATGGCTGCACTCTGGGTATGGAAAGGTTGAAACTTCCCAACCAGTCTATGGCTGGGGTATTGTGCCCATCAGCTACTCTAACCAGCCTTCCCATCTCTGTGCAGCCCCCTCCACCCTGAACAACATCCCTTCGGCAAATCCTATGGGCAGTGGCTGCTGTGACAGGCCCTGGTGGCATATCTCTGATTAACCTGTCCTAGCAGGGAGCTGGGGAGGCTCCTAGAGCTGTTGTGGAGGCTCAGAGATTGGGGGTGGGTGGGCCTAGCTACCAGTGGATCACTGAGATCTGTGCATAACTTTGGGGACCCTAGATCCTGGGTCCCATTTTTATTCCTCATGGAGAAGAGAAGGGAGCCCCCCCCATAACGATCCCAGGAAATTGTATGAAATTCCCCTTCCCTGGTCTGCATCCTGGGTTTCTGATTCAGAAAAGGGGGCTGCTGGAGAAAAATCTGCTCCTATATTATATTATTATTATTATTTTATTTTATTTCAGCAAGATCACAACTGTGACAGCATCGCCATTACCGCTCAGCTGCCCTTGAGGTAGCCCTGTGACTAATCGGAACCATGTGGACAGTGATGACAAGCCCAGATTCCAGGAACAGAAACAGCAGCAGGGCTGGTGCTGCAGTCCAGTTGGGTAGCAGCACCGTGCAACCTCTGTGATTCGGCCTCCTGCAGTTTGCCGTTGGCCGTGATGGGGTTAAAGATGATGCACATAAAACCAAGCAGCTGAGGTTCCCTGATGGCCAAGTGGCCCCCAAGGGAATGTGCAGGCATGCTTCATAAAGACACTTGCCTCCCTATCTGAACAGATACTGCCTGCTGCCCATGCAACCTCTCCAATGACCTTTGTCCTTTTGGCTGAAGACCTCTGGAGTCAGCGGCTCCCCTTCTAGCAGGAATTGGGTACGTTGGCATGTTTCACTATCTTTAAAATGCGCAGTGAAGGGGAAAGGCTGCGAGCTGTTTCCATTTGCAGATGTTCTGTGCAGCAGCAGAGGATTCAGCTGGGCTGTCGGGGTGACTCAGTGACAGGGGCTGGATGGCAGGCAGGGCTAGGTAGCTTGGGAACCCCTCCCCTGCGTCTGCCCATGCTGCTCTGTGAGTTATTCAAGTTGCACAAAAATCTGATATTCAAAGTGAACTCGGAATGTTAAAACCCCGATGCCCCGAGTCAGGATTTCTCAAGGGCTCCCATTTCTAGAGGTGCCGTGTGCTCTGGGCCCGATCCTGACAGGGGCTGAGAGAAATGAGATCCCACAGAATATCACTGACTAGTTCCCAATCTCCACAGGTTATTTTCTCAGGGAAATGTAAACAGCAAATTATTTTCATAGGTTTTACTCTCTGGCTTGATTGCCAACGCAGGAATTCAGAGCTGCCTTGCTCTGTGGTAACACCTGCAATTGGGCATATTTCCATTTCCTGACTGGCTGTAGATACCCCTCAGAGTTCCAAGGCTACCAGCATCTCCTCCCCGTCTCTGGTCTTTGAGTGCCAGATGTCAGGCCTCGTAGCCTTCCCTCTTATGGGGTGGAATCCCGTGATACTCCCACCCTCAGACTGGGCTCTGGTTCTACAGCGCACTGCAAGTCAACTGTGCTTGCCCAGCAGGTCCGAGTAAGTTTGGGAGTCTGTGACTAGTGCTGAGATAAGTGACCAGCCAGCCTTCTTGAACCAAAACACTGTTTAATCTGAATATTAGGAATAAAGTGTAACATGGGAGAATAAGAGGGTTTTAAAATAACAGTCTGTAAATGTCTCTCACCACAAGCCCTCCTGCGCTGACGGGGACCCAGACAGGCCGAGGGCCTTCAGACTTCCCCAGAGGTGTCTGTGCCTGTCAGTCTAAAGAGATTCTCACGACAGCTGCCCCACCTCTGGACACACTCCCAGAGCTGACAAAACAAGCTGTGTAACGTGGCTGGAGCCCAGAAATAGGCTCTTCCCAGCTTGTAGCTCCGGTGTTGTCTCTCGACCTCCCTGCGGTGCTGACTGAGCGATGGCGTTTCTTGAGCTGTTGCTTCCCTTCTTGCTTGTTTTCCAGCTGCCTGCTATTAAAATAGGAAGATCCATACTGGTTTCACCCAATACAGCCATAACATAAACATCCCAAATGTTAACCCAATATAGCTCTACAGCAAACATCCCCAGAACTGGGTTTAACACACACATTCATTATGGCAGCTCAGCTCCATGTCTGTCACAATGCTGTTCCCAGATGCTACGTATGTTATGAATACAGGACATAGACAGTCAAAGAGCGAGAGAGAGAGAGCAATAGACTACTTTCATGTGTGAAATGAAGTTCCATTTCCATGAATACTCATGCATTTGACTTTGAAATCCACTTCCTGCAAACCCTCATCATGGCTGAATAACCGGTACTGGGGTTACTATGTACTAGTGAGTGAGAGCTCAGGGAATGAATATTTGCTATACAGACCCCAAGGCCTGTTACCACTCCAGATACAGGCTACAGACTGACAGAAGAGAACCTGAGGAGAACCAGTCAGCTATTAACTGAGGGACAGAGGAGCTACTAGACTTCTGTTTGCTGACAAATGAGGGCTGGGACACTGTGATCTTTTCAGGTTCTGATGAAATCCAGATGACAGACGCTACATTTTAAGTCCCACTGTAACCTGAGAAATCAGCTCTGAAAGAAGAGGAGAGGGAAAGAATGGGTTGACATGTTTGTGCTAAACTACAGACCTGTAAATTTTATGCCAAAACTTTTCATTGTAATAAAATATTGCAAACCAAACTTTTATGAGGAGTAGTGAAAACTTTACTGCTTAATGGCTTTTACTTTAGAAAGTATTTCAGAAGTTCTCCACATACTTTTTGCAATGGTTTGTGCTAATAATTCTTTGTGCAGCGAACAGCTGTATGATAGTATCCCCTGGTAACTGACCAGAAGCTGTTTCTAACACTTACATTCAGGGTCATGCACACAATTCCTCACAAATACCGCTGCAAGTCTGTCCAAAAAGTTATGAGAGAACAGAACTGCTGGTCTTGGTTTCAGTAGTGTTACAGAGCTGAGATGCAGGAAAGGGGAGTGCTATATTAGTTGTAAGTAATTTACGCCCATCACCTCTTACATGAGCATGGATGAAGTAATTTGCATGCAGAAGTGGATATTAGTGCAAATCTAGTTTTTGCATATTCACCCATTCGTGACGCCAATCCCTCCCCCGCCCAGCTGAAGTAACTGTCTGTGTTAGCTTGCCAAGTATCTATCGGCCCTTGCATGGGGAGAGGATGCAGGTCCTGTGAGATAGATCGAATGCTCAGGATTCAGTTAACATTGGCCAGGCAAAGCACTTCAGCTTCCATTGGAGGGATTCTTTGTGGTCATAGTGTATCACCAGGAGCATATGGTAAGGGAAAGTTATTAGAGCCCGGTTCTGACTGAATTTACACATGTAAATCTGGAGCAACCCTGCTGAAGTCACTATTATTGAATTAAGAACCTGGCACTAAGAATTTATCCCATGTGCTGGAAACAGACAGTGGAATAATTTGAAGTCTCAGGAGTGGAGAAAATAAAAAGTATATCTATGAGGCAATGAAACATGTTTATAAATAGCTTCAATGCAGGGCAGATAAATACAATGACCGTCTTCACCATGCACTTGGCATGATTTATGGACGTCATGATACAATGGGCCAACTCAGAGGTAGACGTCCAGAAAGAGTGTCTGTATGAAGGTCAGAAATGGAAAATCACACAGTGCTCAAGTAGGCTGTGGAACTCCCAGCCACAGGATATGAATGGGGCCAAGAGCTTCTCAGGATTCAAAGAGGGATGGGATGTTTAAATGGGTAATCAGGAAATCCAATACAGTACTGAGAATTTTTTTAGAAAACATCTTGTAAGGGCTCTAAACCTTCCTAATTTACACGACAAAATATGTCTATCTAGAGGGTGTCAGGGGGAAACTTTCCCTAGGATCAGGGTATCTCTTAGTTCCCTATTGCAGGGCTTCTTCCTCCTTCCTTTGCAGCATCTCGTACTAGGCACAGCACACTGGGCTAGACAGACTGCAGGTCTGATCTAGTCTGGCAGTGCCTATCTTCCTATTGCTGGTATAAATCCAAGACAATATATTTGCTGATTTTCCTTGAGGTCCTGGGAATCCCTAGACTTTCACTGAGAGCAAAAAGTTGTCTAGCTAAATATCATCTAGTCTCCTGTTCTTTTTTCTTTCAGGAAGGAAAGATCAAAAGTCTCTGGACCTGCCCAGTACATTATGTCAGCTGTCAATAACACCGACTTCAACTCTGTAGTGTTCCTTCTCACTGGGCTACCTGGGATGGAAGACATCAATCTCTGGATCTCTATCACCTTCTGCTTCATGTATCTCATTTCCATAGTAGGAAATTCAGTCATTCTGTTCATTATAAAAACAGATCCAAGCCTCCATGAGCCCATGTACATTTTCCTTTCCATGTTGGCCGTCACAGACCTTGGCTTATCGATAGCCACCATGCCAACAATACTGAGCATATACTTGTTTAACTCTAGGGAAATCAGCCTCAATGCCTGTTTTGCCCAGACTTTTTTCATCCACTCGCTTTCCAAAATTGAATCCTCCATCCTCTTGTTGATGGCCTTTGACCGCTTCATCGCAATCTGTAACCCACTGAGATATACCTCCATCTTAACTCCACCGAGGATAGCCAAGATGGGACTTGTGGCTGTGCTAAGGCCAGTGGCCATGATACTCCCACTCCCCATACTCCTGAAACAGTTCAGATACTGTCGAGACAATATCCTCTCTCATTCCTACTGCATGGACCAGGACGTCATGAAGGCAGCTTGTTCAGACATCTCAGTGAACAACATCTATGGGTTGTTTCTTACATTCTTCATGGTGGGGTTAGACTCACTGCTCGTATTTCTCTCTTATGTGATGATCGTCAAAACAATGCTGAGCGTTGCATCCCACACAGAGTGCCTGAGGGCCCTGAACACCCGCGTCTCCCACCTCTGCGCTGTCGTGCTCTTCTACACATCAGACATTGGCCTGGCTTTGATACACAGATTCGGAAATAGCTCTACTCACTTGCTTCAGATTATCCTGGGCTACGTCTACCTGCTGGTCCCACCCCTGATGAACCCAATCGTGTACAGTGTGAAAAGTAAACACCTTCGTGAGAGGATAATCAGGGCGTTTGTCAAGTGAAGGGTCAGTTCATCACCTGGCTCCAGCACTGGTGACATGGGAGAGGAAAAACACGAGCGATGGCCATGACCACGTATTTCATCCTGGAACCTCTTCTCTGGAGGCCCTTTCCTCTGCCCCATCTCTTCCTCTACTATTCCCCTTTACCCAAGACTCTGCCCCATTTCCAGGCTGGAAGCCAGAGCCAGGCCTTGGTAAGAGCTGCCCAGGGAACCAGAGCCACAGTGAGGCGCCCCACACCCTCCACATTTTATCCCCCTGGATGTACAAGTCAGGGAATGTGGAGAGTCTGGGGCTTACCTCAGCAACCTGTACTTCAAGGGCAGCTCTTACCATGGCCCAACTCTGGCCTGGCTGGGAGGAGGAGCCTCGGTGATCATGGAGGAGCAAGAGGCTGGGCTTAGTGAGACGATATGGGGCAGGGGACAGAGCTTTAGGGGAAAAAGGGGAGTAGGGTCTGAACCAATGCTTACCACAGCAATCAGGACAGTGGGTCTGATCCTGAGTAAAGGAGGAGGCTGGGGCTGGAGGGTAGGAGACCTTGTGTTTTGGAGAAGACTGAAAAAATATGACCCCACAAAGGGGTATTGGAGTATTGGAGGCTGAGAGTAATTCATTGCAAGAACCTTAGAGGGAAGGGCAGGCTTCCTGCAAGGCCACCTCAGACTCCAAGGGGCCACTCTGGGGTAGCCCCCATCCGCAGGGATTTGGCCAGAGTGGGCTGTGCTCTTGGAAGCCGTTACCTATGGGTGGATGTCAGCCCAGCCCCCAGGCTGCTCTAAACTCCGCTGAGGCAGGGGGGAGAAAATAGGCCAGCGAATCAAACCCCTGGAACTGGCTCCTTGCCATCCCTGCCCTCTGCAGCACAGCGAGGAGCTCTGCTGTCACAGCAGAGAATGCAACTGGGCCTGTCTCTGCTCAAATGTCTGGAAAGCTGGTCCTCTGGTCTGGGCACTTCTCGGTAACTCCAGACAGCTGGGTTGGATTCCCAGACTGTGCGTGACTGTGTCCAAGCCATTGGATGTCTCTGCACAGGTGGATAATAGCCTTGCCCTGCCTCACAGCGGTCACGAGAAGATAAATATATTCAGTGCGGTGAGAGACTCTGAGACCCAAAAATCATTGTGGTGTCAGGGTTCCACAGAGCAACACCTCTGACATTTGTCTATAAAAGG